TATAAATATACATATTTACATCTATTAACAAGAGAATACATTACATTATATATAAATACTCCATATGATCAAAATATTTCTAAGTATTAGTCAAATATGACTATACAATGATTACTAAGAGGTAGTCTTAGAAGGAAATGTCGACTCCAACACTACTATGTGTCCTTCACTGTATACTTTTACAATCTAGTTTTGCTATGTTCTTATATCATGTATGATCATCGTAGTCTAAACTACATGAAAACACACAAGGTAAACTAGGGTTAAAAGAAAACAACATATATAACAATAGAATTATAAGCAACATTAGTCGTCATCACATCTCGTATTTACTAATATCAATTACTCCAACAACATTCAACACTATCAACACAAATTATTTAGTATATAACAACCTAAAATCAACACAGGTAAGATACATCATCTCTAATTCAACACCTCAACATGTTTCATTATAGATCAATATTGCATTTGAACAACACATCAAATGCACAATACAATATCTATATGACAACACATCAAATGCACAATACAATATCTATATGCGTCATTACACGTTTCAACTATGACATTTCTTACAACATAAGATGAACAATTTAAGTGACTTGACCCTATTGAACCAACAACACAAGATGATCTTTTTGGTTTGCTAGATCAACAACAAGTTAGATATCAATCCACAACACAATAACTTGCTTTCTCGGATGTTGTCACTTAAACAAGGAAGTTTAGTACTATTGTTAGAGTAGAACAATTTGGTATAGGTCTACCACAAATTAACTAGCTCAACTAAGTCTCCTTTAGGATTAGTTCATTGATTATCCTCCAAACACTAAACCTTTTTGATACTATGTTAAGAACAAGATTTCCCACTTTGTACTTTACTTGATTGGTTGTTTTATACATGTGTGTCTCGATCTTACCCACACATGATACCAACTAAGGTCCTAGAAGAGATCCATCTCAACTATCCTCTTCAAAGTCAACTTCCCTAAAAGGGTTTTCAACAAAAATTTGGACTCTCAAAGCATCACAACCCAATATTCATACAGTGAGATATGCAACTTTAAAAATAATTTCTCCTCTAATCTTAGGTGTCAACACAACTCAACAACACCATGCCTAAATGCTTAAAGCATTCTCAACATTTTTCATCTCAACAACACAACAACATCCCACATTTTTAACACAGTTACACAAGAATACATCATACAATTCAACTCTGCTTTCATCTAACATAATATACACCTAACCATCATCTTCACAAATCAACATGTATAACATGAGCAATAATTTTATCTCAACACATGTAATAGATCAATATACTTTATTCATATTCATCAACTGATATATACAAATAAACAACATTAATTCCTTATCATACATTATGTAAAAAAAACTCGAAATGTATAGTGAACCTGCGCTTCAAGTGCCCTTAGGTTTGCTCTGAGTAACAAAAACTCACTTTAAGTCTCAAGAATTTGCTTGAAGCGATCCTAGACAAAGAACAACCCAGGGAGATTCGATCTAGTCACTTCAAGCAAGATAACCCTCACACTAAGCAAGCGTAAGTCACTTAGAACGTTCATGAATTCACTATAAGTAAAGGTAGATAGAGACTACCCCTACAACACCATGTCACTCCATTCTAAGCGAGTGAATTCTCGCTTTGAGCCTCTGCATCTTGCTTTAAGAAATCATAATTCGCTCAAAGCGAGCCAAGTTAGAGATGACCTTTGATTTGGTTGTGTGCTCGCTTTGAACGACCTCTGATGGATGCTCCAAGTAATTGGACCTAGAAAATAGGTACGAGTTTAGAGATGAACATAACAATTAATGAACAACTTGAATCCTTCCCAAAGTCCACTCATCTAACAACAAGATTCTTGCACGCAACTCAAAACTAGCCATCTACAATCATTATACAACTAAAAAAATTCATGAAGCACTCCATACAACCACTAACACATCAAGATCATCCATTTTCACTCAACTCATGTAGGAGAACACCCAAAACCCCAATTTTAACATACAAATAACTCTGAAATCAATCTGCACAATTACGAATCTAAAAGATTCTTACAACATTCAACTCATAATCCAATTAACAACTTAACAACTCCATTAAACAAGAATTCTAGCTTCCTTTGCCTTACAATTGAAGTGAAACCGAGGAAGAAGAAGAAGAACAGAATAACTCCAAGGTGGAAGAAAGAAAATGAGTTATGAAGATTGAAGAAATACTCAATCCCTAGAATCGTAGCTCTACGACTAAGTGGAACCTAAAAGGAAGAAGAACAAATTTAAGCATTTCTTATCCCGCCTTAGGTCGTTTAACATAAACTTAGTCAATAGAAAAGGTGGCTCAACAAATACAGTGTTACGATTAATATCTACTTATATTTAAAATTATGTTCATAAAAAATAAAAATTATTAAATAATATTTTATCTTAAAAAATGATATCGAGTCAAATTGTCTCCAATCAATTCCAAAACAAAAATTATTGCATATTCGATGACACTTTATATGTTACATGGCACGTGGAGAAATAGAGAAAAAGCAGGGAAAAGTAGGTATGATAGAAAGGGAGATAAAGAAAAATTATAGTTGTTGATAAAATATTTATGATTAACTAGAGGCTAATTTTAATTGTTCATTATTTTAAAATATGTAAACTTGATATATGAGTTAGATTGTGTTTAACATCATTGTATTTCTACCTAGTTTTAACGTTGAATTGTTTCAATCATTTTGTAATTTGATTTGAGCCAAATTTATTATTAAGATTCATCATATAGAGTGCACTTGAAAATTAATTGAGATCAAGTCAATTAAAATTGAAAAAAAAGTTACACTCACAAATTTTTACTTTTTTTTTATTATAATGATTGTTTTTATGTTCAATATAATTTTAAACTGATATTCAAACATAAACTTAATTGTTTATATACATATTGATTCCTTATATTTGGAGTAAGATGACATTCACAATAAATAGGAATGTTGTTTGACACCGTTGCTTATAAGTTCAACAAAAATAAGGCAGTTTTTATACCAACAAACAACTTGTCTTACATAATTCAGCTCATCCTAGGATGTCCCTGGCCTGCATAGTACATTTCACACTCACAATTAACTTGTTAAACCCATATAACTAAAAATTCGAACAAGTATCAGCAATCTCAATCTCCTTCTCCTTTGTCAAACCCATTTCTCCACTTGAGCTACACCAAACTTATCCACCGCGCAAAGGAAGACTGAAAAATGAAGGAAAGATTTAGAAAAATGATAAATATAAACAACGCAAACTAGTGATTTGAAAGAACCCTCTTTCCCGAAACATGGTGTTCTTACGGATGAAGAAGGATGGCACTTGAACATGCAAATTTAAGGCAAGACACAAATTAAAGTTGTCTACTTCCAAAATTTCTTTAAGAAAGTTGACTACTTTCCAAAATGTAAAAAATAAAAACAAGTCTACGATGCAATTGAAAAGCTCCAATATTTTAAAATATAAAAGATTTAAATATGTTTTTTGATTTCTGAAGTATAACAATTTTATTTCTTTAAGTATGGAAGTTATGTAATTTTATTCTCTCAATTTTTAATCGAGTAATTTTAAGTCTTAAAGTGTCTTAATTGTATGATTTTAATCTCAAGTATTATAATTACACTTTTTTTTTTATCTATTTAAGTTATATCTATTAATAATTTTAGTAATAATAATATATATTATTCAATACATGAATGAAAATTATAATATAATTTAATGCTTGAGTGACTAAAATTATACAATTACGATATTTGAGATACTAAAATTGTTTAATTAAAATTTAGAAGACTAAAATTACACAATTATAATACTTGAGGGACTAAATTTATTCAAGTAGAACTTTAAAAATCAAAATCACAAAACTATAATATTAGAAAGATAAAAACATAAATAAGTTGAAATAAAATAAAATTAAGAATAAATCAAAGTATTATTATGTACTTCCTTCAATCGGAAAAAAAAGTTTTATGTAAGTTGAACATGTTATTATTGATTGATTCAATTGTAATTTTTTTAAAATTTAAATATATTTTAATTCTAATAAAATGATTGGATTTTAATTTTTAAGAAAAAGAATCTTTGATTTTCATCTCAAAAAATATGAAATCATTAATTCCTGTCCTTGTTATCATGTGAAACACGTTTATGGATTTAATAAAAGAAAAGTTGAGTGATTATGTGACATGTCAATAAGTAATATACCTTTCATTTTTTTAAAAACTTTATAAAATAAATATAATTTATTTACTTTAAAATGAATATCATGAGACTAAAATGAGTGATTTTAATTTGAAAGAATTAAAATTTAAAAAATATATTTTATAAAATTATTTTTTAGTAACCGTAGTATTCACTAATTTCTTCATGTGACCATCAAACATTTAATATATAAAAAATATAGTTTACTTTGGTATATATAATTTTTAGATGATTTATCCTTAAATTTTTAAATAATAAAAAATAATATTAAAATTTAATTACTTTTATAAACACAAAATTTAAACTTGGCACTTAAGCTTTGAGAATCAAAATTATTAAATACATCAGCAGTTTTTTTTTTTTTTGGTAAAAATAAGGCCCATGCGCCAAATACATCACCAATTAATCTAATAAATATTGATAATTTTTAAATATTTTTATTAAATAAAATATAAAAATACAAAAATACCTTAATCTCTAAAGTTATGTTATAAGGAGTTAAAGTAAAACTTATTAACTTTGTAAAGAGAATTTTATTTTGTTTTTTAAAATAGAAGATACATTGCGTTAGATCGTAGACACAAATTTGATTCCGTGTTTTTTCTTCACAAATTCAATCTCGTACTATTTTAATTGTGGTTTTTTTTTTTTTTTTTGTTTCATCCAACAAAATGACACTTGGCTTAGGGATGAATATAGTGTATCTTGAACATGTTCCATCAACATTTCCAATAAATATTGAATATGAAATTAAGGGATTGGTGAAAATTGTAGGATTAAAATAGAGAGTCGAAAAAACAATAACACTAACGCAGGTAACTTTACTTTAACACTTTTTCTCTTTCATTTCCTATTCCTATATCCTTATGCTTTCGTTTCCCAAATCTTAGTCACTGATTGCCAGGTTGAACCCGTGGGCCTTCGATTTCCGGTGTGTTCCTCTTCTTCTTAATTTCGTTTCCGTTCTGTGTGTCCCTTTCTTCCTTCTCAAATTTGTTAAATTCGCCTTTATATAATTTTGATTTTAATTTATTGGATTTTCTATTTTTTTCTTTGCTACGCGGAAAATTCAAACAGAGTCATTTAGTCAAGGATCTCACCATGCAGACAACATCGTATAGTCATCCTCTATTCTGTTTCTCTTGCAGGTTTATACTTACTTACCCTTTTCCCCAGATTTTTATAATGTAATGTCTGTTTTCTGAAATGTAAAATGGAACATAATTGTATTGCAGAAACATCAGTACTAATGGGAAGACCAAGTGTTCTGTGAAATTTGGCGCACCATATCCCTCTCAACTGGATCGCAAGTGTGAATTCAATGGGAAACTGAACAGATTGTTTGTGCTTCCTAATGCAAGTGATAGCCATCCATCTGCTTCTACGGTGGATGATGAAATGAACACAAACCATGCTCCAAATGGAATGTCACCGACGTTTTTAAGCAACTGGTCGCCTCCGAGGTACCTGTGGAGGGGGCTATCAGTTTTAATCTTGGCAGGGCAGGTGATTGTCAAGACTATAAAGGGAAAGATTCATTGGAGGAACACTCTTCAACAGCTGGAGAGAGTTGGTCCAAGATCAGTTGGGGTGTGTCTTTTAACTTCGGCTTTTGTGGGCATGGCCTTCACGATTCAATTTGTAAGAGAGTTCACTAGGTTGGGATTGAATAGATCTGTAGGTGGGGTTTTGGCTCTGGCTTTCTCTAGGGAGCTAAGTCCTGTGGTTACAGCAATTGTGGTTGCAGGGCGCATTGGAAGCGCTTTTGCAGCAGAGTTAGGAACTATGCAGGTTTCTGAGCAAACTGATACATTGAGGGTTCTTGGTTCGGATCCGGTTGATTATCTGGTGACACCAAGAGTGCTAGCCACTTGTATTGCCCTACCTCTTTTGACCCTGTTGTGTTTTACATTAGGGATGGCATCTAGTGCCCTTCTTGCTGATGGTGTTTATGGGGTGAGCATCAACATTATCTTGGATTCGGCTCAGCGTTCTCTCAGATCGTGGGATATTATTAGTGCAATGATCAAGTCACAGGTTTTTGGTGCTATCATATCTATTGTGAGTTGTGCTTGGGGAGTTACAACTTTGGGAGGTGCTAAAGGTGTTGGGGAATCAACAACGTCTGCTGTGGTTATTTCTCTTGTAGGCATCTTCATTGCTGATTTTGCTCTTTCTTATATTTTCTTCCAAGGAGCAGGAGATCAGCTAAAGAATTGCATTTAAGCAACTAATGTTGCCTCTGCAATTTTGCTCATATGTACAAAGTGAATGGTATGACTTCTATTACAGCTGTGATAAAATCTTTTTATAATTTGTATCAGGTGCGTTAGTCATGTTGTTTTCTAAGTTGTGGATTGCAAGTCTTATTTATACGTATTTGTGTATGATTGCATGTCCTTCGAACATGGTAAAGGCATTCATTTTTCCTTAATAAAAAATTATTTACTATTACATCATTCTAATAATGTTTTGTTATGAATTCCTTAATGAAAAATTGGTATTTTTCTTTTTATCAAAGAGGAAATAATGTTATGTTATGATCCATTTGATGGTCAATAATGAGCTTAGGGTACCTAATACATTTTTTTTTTCTGAGGAAACAAGTTCAACGAGGCAATTATTTTCTCTAAAAAATAATGTCTCCTTTAAACATTACACCAGAGTCGTATGAAAAAATCAGGACAAGCTTGACTGGCATCTCAATAGATTGATGGAATCACAATTATAGGAACTAGGAAGTGACCTGATGAGCTAGTTTATATCCCACTTGTTGACCTCTCCCAAGGTATGTGATGATTGGATTGCTTTAAAACCATTAGCAAGCACCCTGGTATCCTAGATAATCTTGTAGCAATGGTGAGTCCCTTCACACTTTTTAGCCACTAGATGCGGAGCAGCATTAGTCTGATTCAATAATAACTTTGGGAACTTTCACCTCCTTTGCAATGGTAATACCATATAAACCCCAAAGCTCTGGCAGAGAGCAAGAACTGGGTATGCAGGAAAACAGTTGACAAACCACTGTTTCTAGTAATACCACAGGTCCACGAGCTGCCATGGGCCCCTGATCCATCAGTATTTAATTGGACCAGTTGTTAACATAAACTGCTCGTTGGGCCTTCTGCAGAGGGTATCATATGGATTGCTGCTTCAAGATACAAAAATAAATGTCTTCACAAGCACAAGGTTCTTGTAAAACCAGTCTGTACCTAGCCATATTTTAGGACCAGCTTTCTTTTATATTCACGCTAGTTGGGCGCTTGGGCAACCATAATAGATGGAAATCCAACCATCATATCTTGTTATATGGTTTATATACTGAGGTTATGTTTGGACATCTAATGGTGAGTAGTGAAATGGCATGATGTTCCATTTTCCATTGTTTAGATGTTTTATGATGAATTTCAAATGAATCCATTTTGACTCTGTTCATGTGTTCTATGATGAGGCTTGGATTTCTCGCAAGTTACATGTGGAATAGAATTATTTTTGTAATTTTAACATGGTCATTAAGCTTTTTCTTCTTAGCTTCGACTTGGGTTGAAGTTCTTGTTGAAGTATTTTGCTACAAGGTTAATGTTGCGTGTTATGCTTTAGTTGTGATTACATGGGAATATGAACGTATTGTGTAAGAGTTATTTGTGAAATATCGACTACATTATGATTTAAATTCTATGCTTTAAATACCATGCTATGAATATGATAGAGTTCTTCGTGGAAAATTTCAGTTGTACTTAAAATATTGAAAATAGTAACAACCACTAAAGCATTTTTCCACTAGGCTAGGTTGGTTCTATAGATCAAGCAACCAATTGTAAAGTGTAAACTACCCATTGTGCCCAAATCTCTCTCCACTAGCCCTGTTTCTGTGACTTGGTGATGATGTTAGTCCCTTAGCCTCAATTAACTTAAGAGGGGGGGGGGGGGAATTAAGTTTACTAAATTTCCTCTTATAAAAACTTTTCCAATTACTTCTTAATCAATTTATTTCCTTAGACAAATTTGTATGTAAAGAATGAATGATGATGCAAATTACACAATTATAATTAATAACAAGAAATTAAAAGTGTAGGGAAAGAAGATTTGCAAACTTGATTTTATATTGGTTCGGTCAATCCTGCCTACATCCAGTTCTCAAGTCTCCCACTTGAGATTTCCACTACTCTTGTAAACCTTACAAGAAAATGAATCCTCCAACACCTCGGAACTCCCTTTCCTTGTGTTGAGATTCAAACACCAACAAGGAGAAAAACCCTTTCTCCTTTACAGATCCAATGATCTATTAAGTATTACAGAATAACTCTCTTGAAGAGTGGATATTACACTTTCATGATCTTTGATGAACTCTTTAGAGATTTTGCAAATGATTTTGGCCAAGTGATTTGTAAAGATTATTTTCACAAATAGAGTTCGTCACTTTTCTCTGAAAAATTATAGGTATTTATAGACAATTGTTTCTTGGGTTAGGTCTTTTCATGAAGAGTTGTAACTCTCTATAATTTTTCAGAAAATAGGCTCTGGTATTACAACGGTTTAAGTTCAAAATGTTTGAAACGTTGTATAATTCAAATTCGAATTTTTGAAAATTTCTCTTCTAGTAATCGATTACAATCACTGGTAATCGATTACCAGAGAGCATTTTAACATTTTGAAAGGTTTTCTTTCTCTGGTAATCGATTACAGCAAGTGGTAATTGATTACCAGAAACATGTCACTTGTTTTGGCTTATGAAAACTTAAGATATAAAGAGCTTCTATTTTCCAGTTAAAAATATTTTTGTTTAATCTTTTGAATACTCTTTTTGCTTTCTTTTCAAACAACTTATTCTTATATTCAAAATTATTAAGTTTAGGTTTTCTTGAAATTCTTATTTTAATGGCAAGTGAAATTTGCAAATTCTAAAAATTCATTTTACATACTAAGCTAAGCAGTCAAGACTTATCTAGTTATTACTTGAGATCTTGCTTCTTGATCAGCTTGCTTTAACTTGACCTTTATTTTCTTCAATGCTTTGGCATCATCAAAACTTTGTGCATATTTTCTTCCACAGATGATTTTCAGCTATGCACGGAAAGAGCTTAAACATGATTCCTTACTTGTTTGCATTTGAACCCTATAATTTCTTGTTTGTATGAAGAACTCAAATGCATCAGTCAGTGTCTTGATTTGGAAAGATAGGTGGCTCAGGTCTTTAACTATATCCGTACTTTCATAAGATTTATGTAGTAGATGTGATGACTTTATCAAGCCAGAAAAATCATCGTACTGATTATGAAATTTGTTTTCTACTCTCATCATTGTCGCAATTTTGTGTACTGTTAGTAAATCATGTGTATACCAATGAATGATCGGTGATAATGTCCACGGTTCACCACATCATCACTGTTTGGTTCTGGGATCTAAATGGTTCATTGTCTACTAGTTTCAAGGCGTATAGTCACACTAAGTAGATAGACTTTGCTCCCATATTTTTATATATGGGCTAAAACTTGTTCAGGTTAATGCTAAAATCTTCATAATTTGAAGGTAGAGTCATTATTATATCCTAGTTCTGATATCATTATTGTTTTGAGTCTCTCTGCACATGTTGCATATATTAAAGTTGGTTCTTGCAAAATCAGGCCTCTAAGCAAGCAGTTCCAGTGATTCCTAAGCTTAGGATCAATTAATCATTCAAATCTCTCTGCCCATGATTAGATGCATCCAGAATGAATTTGGAACGTACTTGTTTACACAAAATTCAGTTTATGGATATAGAAATGATGCTTTTTAAGTCCTCAAAATTGTAGATGAATGCATTTACTCAGTTTCGTTCCAGAACTAAAGCATCGTCTCATATTTTAGATCTTGATATAAAAAAACAAAAAAAAACACTACTAATTTAAATTACTCAGTTATATTAAAAAGATTAATAAGTACATGAATTTATATAAATTTTCATGCTTGAACTTACAATGATATTAGAGTCCTATAGTGTATTTGACATGTCACTAATTTATAAGTTTTTTTTTTTAAATTACGATGTTTGATAAATAAGTACAAGAATGTGTTTCGGTAGTTTAACTAGTTTATAGCTTATCTGATTACCTTAAAAAACTTTTTCCGCGAAAATAAAGTTGTTCAATAAGTAGGTTTATTTTACTAGCTTATAACATTCTTTAAAAATAAGTTATTATATATGTTTCAACTTATAACTTTATAAGTTTAAAAGGATTCGGCTCAGTTGATTGATAAAGTACTAATATTAAGGAATTCTTATTATTGTTTCTTACTCTCACATCAAATATCGTATCTTTATAGTATAAATTCTTCAAAATTATAATGTAAACCTGTTTATATTATCTTATTTCATTTAATAAAATTATTTTTAATAAAAATAAAATAACATGCTCCTAATTTTTAAAATTATAAAATATTTTGAAATATAGAAAAGATAATTATTTGAAAATATATTGTTATTAATTACTAAATTTCAAGTTAAGGTAAAATAACTAAATATGTCCTTATAATCATAATAAAACAATTTAGAATTTCAATTTAAGGTTTTTAATAATAATAATAATAATAAATCTTCTAATATCTCATACTTTAACAAATAGTGATACCATTTTCATTCATTGTTGTCGATATTCAACTTTTTTTAAAGAAAATACAACGAGTATAATAAACGTTATCAATTTTGAACCCAATAATTCAAACAATAAATAAATGACTATTAAAGAGAAAAGAAACAGATAATTAACTAAACAATTAATTTATTAATATTTCAACAGAAAAGAAAAAAGAAGAGAAGAATTTTGAATGGAGAAAGTCAAGCGACAGGTTCTGTAAATGGTTTGAATAATCTCATCTGAATAAATCACGTACAGCTGAAAAACAAAAAAACTATACTCCAAACAAGAAAAAGAAATCAAAAGAGAAGTTGAGAAAATTATGAGCAATTCATATTGGGATAGAGAGAATAACAACACACGAAATTCTAGTATTGGAATTCAGAAATTCTAGTATGGTCATTTCTCGGCATGTTTATTATTTTATGAAATATTGGAATTCCTACAAGCTACAACTACCATGAAATCCATTTCTCATAATCTCCCATGAAATTTAATGCTATATGTATAACAAGAAATGGTCGAGTCTTCACGCAATAATGTCAAGGATTCAAGCCTCAGTTACAAATTTCAAAATTGCTAAATGCTAACCAATCCTTCATACAATCCTATCATTTTCAAGGACCCTACCATAATTCTAAAAAACTCATAATTGAACCTGCTAACAGATCATGAGCTACTTAGCGACTAAACCGGTTAATCTTTTTTCCACTGCAACTAGTTAAAAACCGTTTTCAATTGTATTCTTTTAGGTTGTTTGATAGCTAATTTATTTATATAGTAAAAAAATACTCAACCTCTTCTTTATTAACTTATTAAATTAGTCTTCTAAATAAATCTTACGAAATTATACTTGATACTTGACAAATGAAAACATCTAATGCATCATTATCATTAACTTATTAAATAAATTAGGTTAGACACGAGACAAACAAGAACATGTAATGCATCATTGTCATTAATGATAAAAAATTAAACACAGTCATTTTCATTTACTGTGTTTGAATTATACCCTACGTAATTAATTATCCGTTTGTTTTAAATTTTCCGAAATCTAAACCAGTCTTTGAAACAAGAAATTATCCGAATTTTGGTGAATGATGTGCCACCGCAACAAAAGTGCAAACAAACCGGCACCAAGTAAACCTTAATCGTTATCGAACTGTGCATCTTTTAATTTTTTTGTTATTGGTTCTGAAAATTTATATATATAAAAAGCAACAACATGGTAACACGGATACCCTAACAACCCCGACACTAGTGGGGAAATCAAAACTTACGTGCGAACATAAAACAGGTGGAAAAAAAAAATAAAATTAACCGGAAATTGTATTATGACATAAACTTCGCATACTGTAATAGACTAAAAGTAGATTGAAAAAAAAAGAGATAAAATATGAAATAATGTTATAAAAAAAATAAAAAAAATTAAGGGTGGGGCCAGGCAGAAGTCCCTCTCTGCGTAGGACACGCTTCTGGTATTTCCTTGTATTCTACTTTTCCTTTTCTTAGGCTCCCAGTTTTCAACCTTTGACCCCTTTCATTCCAATCAATTGAAATTTTCAATCACAATCACTTTCTTCTTCTTCCCTTCCCCTAACACACCCCAATTCCTCCTTTTCATTTTTTATTTTCAAATGGGTCCCATCTTCTATCTGTTTCATTGGGCCCATTAATTTGGTTTTCTTTTTTGTTGATATCTTTCCAAGTTAGCTTCTTTTTCTCTTCCGTCGTTCTGCGTTTCAATTGCATTAATTAATTAATTGGTTTGTTAATTGATGGCCGCTTTTTTAATCATTATTTAATTTTCCCACAGTTAATGCTGAGTTGGGCTTTGTCAAGTTTTCAAGTGTTGGTTTTTGCTTTTCTACTACAATTTGCATGCATTTAGCTGTTTTCTCTAGAATCTGGATACCTGGTTCCTTCTTTCTTCCATCATTCATTCCACTCGGTAGCTTTTGTCTCTTACCTTAAATTTCATTGATGTCAATGTTCTATTTGAGCTTTCATTTATTAATAATAAATAAACAGAAGAAGAATTAGAATTATTCTCACTCTACCTTTTGTTTCTGTTTGGGGTGTTAACGAATATATCTTAACTAGGAAAGCATTGTGCATTGGCTTCATAATTTATTTTGGTTTGGTCATTTTTAGCATCATGTATTGTATGTTCCTTTGTTACTATTCTAGATAAATGTGTTTGGAATGTTTGAGAACATCTCATTTTTCTCTAATTTTTGTTCTATGTTTAGGTTTCATCATTTAGAGTGACAGAGAATAGCTGCCAAGAATAGCAGCGGTATTATTTTGTGAAGATGGTACTAGGATTAAGATCAAAGAGTAGAAAAAGTGTCTCAATCCAAGTTCAATACATCATCCATGTTCAGGAGATCAAGCCGTGGCCCCCTTCACAATCACTGAGGTCTGTTCAATCGGTAGTACTGCAATGGGAAAATGGTGATCAAATTTCTGGGTCTCTGGCATCCACAGCTGGCACTGGAAAAATCGAATTTAATGAATCTTTCAGGCTTTCAGTGACTATGTGGAGAGAAGTATCCAAGAAAGGCAAACACCGTGAAAGTTTCCAGAAGAACAACTTAGAGTTTTACTTGTATGACAAAACAGTAAAGAGTCACCTATTGGGATCAGCCACAATTAACTTTGCAGATTTTGGAATTATTAAGGAAACTAAAGCCTTAAACATTTTGTTGAACATCAAGAAGAGTTCCAAAAATTCTTCACAACCATATCTTTTTGTTAGTATTCAGCCATTTGATACAGAGTGTTCCAGCTCATCACCAAGCAGCAGCTTGTCAAAAGAAATGTCACCAGACAAGGAAGGAAGTGAATCTGTTTCACATTCAGTAAAAGATGACGAAGATCTTGAAATTGCCTCTTTTACTGATGATGACACTGATGACATCCCTTCAAACACCTTCCAAACTATCAGATCTACTTCAAAGATTACTGGAGGTTTGCCCCTTCTAAATGAAAAAAGTACTAAGTTTTTTATCTTCTGATTGTGCTTAATGCAAATAGATCAAACCATCATCTCCTTTACAAAAGGATTGTGTTTTTATTTTTATTTTTTTACATTTTTTTGATATTATCAGACCATTGTTATAATTTGGTAGTATTGACCTCAAATTCTTGCTGTCACCTTATTGAGTTGGATTTTGCTCAACAAAAAACTGCTATGATGCTTTACTTTTTGTAATGGTATTGAATGTTTGTACTCCTCTTTATTTTTGGTATGCATACATCCATTGATCATATGTGCACTGGTATGCAGTATGCTGCTGCAATTCAGGTTATTTTGATCTTACTAATTATATTCTGGAGATGAGATGACATTATTATACTATTTTTTTTGCTCAACACATTTATATATCAATTGCCTCTAAAGTCAGTTTTTAATTGTTAATTTAGCTCCAAGGTAAAATGATCATATATTTGAACTCTAAATGTGTTTTTTTTTTGAAGTTTAAATAGATATATAGTGAAGAAACTAGATAGAACTATGCTATAAATGATGCAATTTTTCTATTCATTATCTGATCTCTAGACAAATAATAATTTATATAGAAACACAATTGTCTAGTTTTGTCATATTAATAGCTTGTTGCCATTTGATTCAGACGGCATCAAAATCAGTGAAAGAGGAACAGAAGGGTCTCATAGAGAATTTGTTCTACCTCCTGAAAGTACTACTTCTAACTCACGTGGAAACACAGAGGGCGAGGCATCCACACAGTTCAGTGACATCAAATCTCCTTCGCCTACAGTTCTGTGCTCAGATGCGGGAAATGCTTCAAATGGCAGGCCTTTATTACCTAAAATTTCTGAGAAAAGTGTCAAACTTGTTGATGCAAGTTCTGAAATTCTTGAAAGCAAACAATCCTCTACTTCATACACTTCATCAAGTATGAAACAAAACTTTGAAAGATCTTTCCAATCTCAAGTGACTGAAGAGGATAGCATGACTCAAGAAGATGGCACAAGAGATCAGAGATTTAATAAAGATGCTCGGGAGAAAGTTAGCAGTGTTTCTAACACTAAAGTTATGAAGGACAAAGAGAAAAAGGAGGAGAGAAGGAAAAGACCAGAACAGTTTAGCATGAGGAATGAACGTTTAGGAAATGAGCTTGTTAATAATTATTCTGATGATGAGAAATTAAATAGTGCCACTCTTCTGCCAAACAAGAAATCACATGAACATGAAACAAGTATTATGATGAAAGATAAAACAGAGGACGTGACAAATGTAAAGTTTCCTCTACAATCTGCTGAGAACTATAAAGAGAAAAAGGAGGAAAGAAGGAAAGGACCAAAACAGTTTACCATGAGGAATGAACTTTTAGAGAATGAGCGTGTTAATAATTACTCCGATGATAATTCTACAAAGAAAGGGGAATTAGATAGTGCTACTCTTTGGCCAAACAAGAAGTCACATGAACATGAAACAGGTATTTTAATGAATGATAAAACAGAGGACGTGACAAATGTAAAGTTTCCTCTACAATCTGCTCTGGAGAAAGTTAGCAGTGTTTCTAATGCTGAAGTTATGGAGCACAAACAGGAAACAGAGGAGAGAAGGAAAGGACCAGAACAGTTTACCATCAGGAATGAACTTTTAGAAAATGAGCTTGTTAGCAACTATTCTGATGATGATTCTACAAACAAAGGGGAATTAGATAGTGCTTCTCTTCTGCCAGACAAGAAGTCGCATGAACATGAAACTAGTATTTTGATGAAGGATAAAACAGAGGACATGACAAACATAAAGTTTCCTCTACAATCTGCTCTGGAGAAAGTTAGCAATGTTTCTAACACTGAAGTTATGGAGGACAAAGAGGAAATGGAGGAGAGAAGGAACGGACCAGAACAGTTTACCTTGAGGAGTGAACTTTTAGATAATGAGCTCATTAACAATTACTCTGGTGATGATTCTACAAACAAAGGGGAATTGGATAATGATACTCTTCTGCCAAACAAGAAGTCACGTGAACATGAAGCAAATATTTTGATGAATGATAAAACAGAGGACATGAAAAATGTAAAGTTTCCTCTGCAATCTGCTCTGGAGAAAGTTAGCAGTATTTCTAACACTGAAGTTATGGAGGACAAAGAGAAAATGGGGGAGAGAATGAAAGGACCGGAACAGTTTACCATGAGGAATGAAGTTTTAGAAAATGAGCTTGTTAATGATTATTCTGATGATGATTCTACAAAGAAAGGGAAATTAAATAGTGCTAATCTTCTGCCAAACAAGAAGTCACATGGACTTGAAACAAGTATTTTGATGAATGATAAAACAGAGGACGTAACAAATGTAAAGTTTCCTCTACACTCTGCCGAGAACTATATAGAGAAAATGGAGGAGAGAAGGAAAGGGCCAGAACAGTTTACCATGAGGAATGAAGTTTTAGAAAATGAGCCTGTTAATGATTATTCTGATGATGATTCTACAAAGAAAGCGAAATTAAATAGTGCTAATCTTCTGCCAAACAAGAAGTCACATGGACTTGAAACAAGTATTTTGATGAATGATAAAACAGAGGACGTAACAAATGTAAAGTTTCCTCTACACTCTGCCGAGAACTATATAGAGAAAATGGAGGAGAGAAGGAAAGGGCCAGAACAGTTTACCATGAGGAATGAAGTTTTAGAAAATGAGCTTGTTAATGATTATTCTGATGATGATTCTACAAAGAGGAAATTAAATAGTGCTAATCTTATGCTAAACAAGAAACCAAATGAACAGGAGACAAGTATTTTGGTGAATGATAAAACAGAGGACGTCACAAATGTAAAGTTTCCTCGACAATCTGCTGAGAACTATGGGCTGTTCAACAAAAATCAGACCGATAATCAGGCAGAGGAAATTAAAACTATGAATGATGCTCATGTTGATACTGCTTGCCATGAAGATGATAATGTGAATGGCAGCTTTCTTGACAATAAAACTGAATTGAAGGCTGAAGTTGAAAGGCTTCGAGAAGAGCTGAGGGAAGCTGCTGCTCTTGAAGTTTCAATTTACTCAGTTATTGCTGAACACAGTAGCTCATCAAACAAGGTCCATGCACCTGCTCGGCGCCTTTCTAGACTCTATTTCCATGCTTGTAGAGTTGGGTCCCCTGCTACAATAGCTAGTGCAGCCCAGAGTGCTGTCTCAGGATTTGTTTTGGTTTCAAAAGCATGTGGAAATGATGTTCCAAGGTATATAAAACTTGATTTCATAACTTTCTTATCTGTTCTGAAATGAAACAAAAAGTTCATGAGTATGTAACTGAAGATCTAGTTCTTATGAATCTAAAGAGCAGCAAAAATCTTTGATAAAAGCTGAACATAAGATAACTAACTTGCTTTTCTGACATATGAAGATTTATCTGTGAGAAGCTGCTATAGTGTTTTCTTGTCTATTCAAGTTTGGGCATACAAAAAGGTTAAGATTGTGAACGAATGTAGGAGAAAGTAGGGGAAACACCTTATTGAGGGATGATTGATACTCATCTAAGGTGGCTTGGTCATGTGAGGAGAAAACCAGCAAAGTCTCTGATAAGGGAAATGGATCAAATGAACTGAATTAATATTTTTAAATATGTGAAGGAAGAAAACATTTGGACAAATCATTACAGAAGGCATTGATCTAAGATGCTAAATGGAGAAATTTTCAGTAAGTGAAAAATTGGTTTTTTCTTAAACACAATGACATAGATTAGTTAATGTAGCCAACCCCAACTAATGGGATAAGGAGTAATTGTTGTATCTATTGTTGTATCTACTGAATTTTGGTTGATTTAACATCATTTTCAAATAGACCTGTTGATAATTTACATTACATTCATTTATTTTGTACCATTTCTTAGCTTACTATTTCTTAACCATGAATAGGTTGATATTTTGGTTCTCAAATGTAATATCACTGAGAGCAATTGTAAGCAAAAGAGTTGAAAATATACACATTGGTGGTGGTCCATGCTTCAACAGTGAATGTGATGTAACTGGTAACACTCTTCATGAAGAAGAAAAAGACAATACAGATAGCTGGGAGGATCCAAAAACATTTATAGTCGCATTGGAAAAGGTTGAAGCATGGATATTCTCTCGAATTGTTGAGTCTGTGTGGTGGCAGGTTGAATCCTAATCCTTCATATTCTCCTCCTATTTCTTCTGATTCTTCTGCTTCTTGATCTACAGTTTGAAAACTTCGATCAGAAACTGAATGCCCTTGTACCTTTTCCTGATATATTTTGGTGTCTTTTGTTCCCAGACTCTTACACCATATATGCAGTCTGCAGCTACAAAGAGCTCTAGTTGTATGAAAGCCTATGAGAAAAGATATCGTGTTGGTGATCCAGATCAGGGAAGTTTTTCTATTGATTTATGGAAAAGAGCTTTCAAGGATGCATGTGATAGGCTTTGCCCTATTCGAGCTGGAGGGCATGAGTGTGGCTGCTTGCCTGTGATAGCTAGATTGGTACAATTTAACATCGATATTTTTTATTGCAATGTATTGCAATGCTGGATTTCATGATATTCTGCTTTGAATACATGTGTATGGATGTAGATGTAGATGTAGTCATATAATATGCGGTGAATCTTATCTCAAAATGTTGGAAGTTATGGTTAGGGGGATTTATTTAAAATCATATATTCTCTCTATTCTCAAAATTTTTAAAAACTGCCAAGGGGTGGTGTTGATGTGCTTGTAAAGATGCTAGTATACATAAATTAAAAGCTAAATTAGAAACCATGAGGGGAAATGCTGCACTTGAGTATACAAAGCTGACAAGTAGGAGAAAATATTAAAGTACCTTTTGCCGCTATGAAGATGGCAGTATCTTAGGCTTACTTGCTTTCTTTGCTTTGTTTTATCATTGTACTCTTTAGAACTTATCTACTCCAAACTTTAAAGCATCTTTATTTAGTTTTTTCTCCTTTATTTTTGACAATCAACGTATGTGATATAGCTTTTCTGTCCATGAATAGTTCTTAGTGTTGGATTGTCTCCTAGTTTTATTGTAGACTATTTTTACTTTATTATATAGACAGATGGTATTGAATTTTGGATGCCTTTATAGACTGTGCCAGCATCCTGCTGTTTTGTTATTGTTAGAGAGGAAAAAACAACATTTTTGGGCCAACACCTGACATCCTAAGCTTCTGGTTGATTTGGTTCTTGACATGGAATAGACCCTCTTTGACCATGTGGTCATGATTTCGATCTTCACCATGCCAGTTCTTGATAATATAAACTGACTTTTTACATGACATGTTCTTTATCCATGCCTAGGATCAAAGGCCTTCAGTATGAGGAGACCCCATTTGTTAGAGTTAAAAACCATTCTGGACCTGCTTTATGGATGATTTGATTCTTGATAGTTGAGGGAAACATGGGCTTTTCCCATCTGTACAATACATTCTTTATTATTTACTCATGGTCAATAGTTTTTGTACGAAGAATTGTTTATTTCATTGATTTATTCTTCAAAAGTTCCAGGTCATTTAGATGCGCATGTTGCTTGTTCTCTCTTGATGATAATATGGGCTATTTGTTCCTATCTTAAAAAGACAAAAATAAAATAAAATAAAATCCAGCCTGATTGAAATAGGACGGTTCTTGTGGTTGTAGGTGATGGAGCAGTTGGTTAGTAGACTTGATGTGGCAATGTTCAATGCTATTCTTCGTGAATCCGCCGAAGAGATGCCCATGGATCCTATATCTGATCCCATCAGTGATTCTAAGGTTCTTCCTATTCCAGCTGGAAAATCAGGCTTTGGAGCTGGTGCACAACTAAAGAATGCTGTGAGTTATGAAATTTTTTTGTTGTGATTTCTTTCTTTACAACATTCATCATAATCTTTATATATTTTTTCACTGTAAGGCTTGCTTCCTCTATACCCACTGCAATATGCATTAGGATGATTTGAGAAAGTTCACTAGCCGATCAAAGATGTAAAGTATTTTATGATGTTTTTATATAATTGTTTAAAAAATAAACACAATCATAATTGGTTAATATCAACAAGTTATTAATTCGAGTAATACTAGAATCGATTTCCCTAAGCAAAGTTTTGGGTTTCAGTCTCATGTATGAAAAAACCATACTTAAGAGGGGAGACTTCACTAAAGATGGTTAAGTTCTGACTGACATTATTCATTGACAAAGTTTGTAGATACTTTATATCAATAACATAGTTATCCAAAAAAAGTCATAATTGTTGAATCTTATTAAACAAATGCTTCTGAAATATAGGGAGTGGATATTAGAGACAAACTCTAATCTTACTTTTTTAGATCAGAAAAATCATATCGCAATTTTTCAAAGTTCACCTATAAATAAATAATATTGATGTCTTGAGAGTATATTTTGGATTCATTAACCTCATTCAAATTTTTAAAGACACTTAAAATTCAAAGTTTTTGAATGTAGATGAATTTATAATTAGCATTAATTTAACATTATGAAGTTTTTTGTTTTTTAACGCGGGAAGCTCCTCATCTTAAAAACGTCTTTCTCAAATTTGGTTTATATATATACCATACATTGCCCTCGTAAATTTGTTGCATGATGGCACAAAATTGAATGAAATTTTGTGGTTATAAAATTGGTGATGCTGGTAGTGCATGTTGGGAAATGAAATGCTAATAGAAATTATAAAATAAGAACTGAATGTAGCAGAAATGAGCAAGCTGAGGTGGATGAGTGTGTACATAAGAAAAGAAAGAGTAGGAATGAATGTGTCCATGAGAAAGTTATAGTAGAGCATCAACTGAAGAGAAGATGATGGAAACTCGCTTAGTTGATTTGATCATGTGAGAAGACCAGTAGAGGCTTCAGTGAAAAAAGTGGATCAAATGAAAGTTTGTCCAATAAAAAAAGGTGGATAAAAATCCTAGAAATCTTGAGAAACCATTTAGATAGACCTTTCCCGCCGAAAATTTGGTTCTTGATAAAAAATAATGTGGTTGATTCGTCCATGTAAATGTAACCAACCTTAACTAATAAAATAAGCTTGGTTGCAATTCCATGAAGGATATGAGATGTTTATTCTCTTGGATAACTTTTTTGTTATCTGTACTCAGATTGGTGACTGGTCAAGATGGCTTTCAGATTTATTTAGCATTGATGATAGTAGTGAATCCCTTGAAGTTAGCAATGAAGACGATGAACCCAAATGCGAATCATCCTTCAAGCCTTTCCATCTCCTAAATGCGTTAAGTGATTTAATGATGCTTCCTTTGGACATGCTTGCAGATGGATCTACCAGAAAAGAGGTTGGATCAAACTTCTTTATTGTTGACTTTTTTTATTTCTTTTTTGAGAAACTAATTCTAAACTTGTATAATGTTAAAAAAAACTCTGCAGGTTTGCCCAAAATTTGGTATATCATTAATAAAACGAGTTGTCAACAATTTTGTTCCTGATGAATTCTCCCCAGGGCCTATCCCGGATGCGGTTTACGATGCCCTGAACGAGGTTGGTTAATTTTAGCATGCTTTTACTCCCTATGAATATAAGCAATATTAGAGTCCGTTTGAGTAAAAATTTTCAGAAGCTCTTGCAGAAGAGAAAAAAAAAATGAAACAAGTGTTTTTATAAGTTAAAATTAGTTTATGCATGAATCAATTTTTAAAAGTTTTCTCCTATTAATTTTTTCAAAATCTTCTTTTTAAATTATGTACAAGTTGGTTTTAGTTTATTGAAAAACTTATTACAATTTTTCTTCTTATTTTTTTTTCAAAAGTATTTTTGGAGAAATTTATCCAAATAGTCTCTTAGTATGATTAAGGAATAGATTATTGCAATGTCTACATCCTATGTTTGCCTAAAGATTGTTTTTTTGGATTTTCTTAAATTAGGATATTGAGGATAATGAAGGGTGCATTACAAGCCTTCCATGCTCTGCTGGTTCCACTTTCTATGCACCACCTCCACCTTCTTCAGTTGTGGGCATGCTTCAAGAAGTGAAAACCAAAACTTCACTAAGAAGTGGGTCATTTGTGCTCCAAAAGTTATATACCAGTGATGATGAACTTGATGAATTGGATTCACCACTTTCTTCTCTTGGCGTGGATGACTCATCAGTTTCGTCCAAGGAAAAGTTTGCTCCAGTTAAGGGTGGCCGTAAGGTTGTACGATTTGAGCTCCTGCGAGAAGCGTGGAAGACTAGTGAATGATCACAATCTTCCTATCAATTTTTTTGTTCTTGTATATAACATGTATTTACAATTCAGCCCAATATATTCTGTATTTGTTTTCTGTTTCAAATAAAAATCTTGGCCTTATAATCTTGAACTTTTTAATTTTATTCTTATAAAGTTCCGGTAATTTTCATAGATATTTTCCTCCGACAAATCCTAGTATGAGAAGTTATTGCTTGGTCTGGGTTAGTGAACAACTTCATACCAGTTTGATGAATATAAGAAAAATATTCACTTGAAATTAATTATTAAATTTTTTCATGTGAATACATATCTAAATATTAATTTTCTCGTATAAAAGACCCATTTGAGTGCTTGAAGTGCTCATATTATACTTTTTGTGAATTCTTTCCCTAAACCATGTCCATGAATATCAATAATAATGTTTTTAACTTTGTCTATCAGTTGGGTGTTTTTTACTTTGGACAACACTCTCACCAAAACAACCAAAACATCATTATATGCAAATTATGCAACTATGTTCTACCTAGCTTCCAAGCATTCATAGCCCATATTAAATCTCAATTTGCTATAGAAAGCTCTACCATTAGAAGACTATATTCACCAAACTATGTCACTTCTCAAAGAGAAATGATTCACAATCCTTTGCAACCCAATTTTCCTAGACAAATGGTGTTGATGATGCAAGAAACAAAAAACTTTGTTAACAATGGAAATTTCCAGACACCACTACCACAGGCTATGTCATCTGCATGGAATAATAATGTTGAAATGGCATTGTTGCACTTGCATACTCCACTCATCCACCACAGGGAGATGGAGATTTCTCCAATTGATGGAAGTGGAACTAAGCCATATATCAACTTGTTGGACAAACCCATCATTAACAATGAGTTTTTTAATTGGACTATCATTAATGGTGACTCATTGAATCTTGCTTTAAGGCTCTAGAACTTTAAAAGATTATTTATGTAATGTCAACATGAGTTTTGTATGATGTTGGTGATAGTCACAATTATTGTATCATGTACGATTTAACTTAAAAAATAAAGTTCTTCTAAAAAAAACAACTAAAATAAAGTTATGTGATTGATTATGAATTAGTGTCTTTATGTCAAGTCTTGTATTAATTTTTTGTCAGGTTGATTCTCATTCTAGATTTATGATGTAAAGATATAGAGAATCAGTAAAGTTTATATCGAATATAAACCATGTTTCAGTTTTTAATAAATGACTTTTTCATGTGTGATTTTCACTTTTCTCCCTGTGAATCTTATTTTTCAATTTTATTCATTTTTCTATAAATGAGGTGTGATTACAAGGGTATAAGTATTATACAAATGTAAGGTATTTGTGGATTCGGCCGAGACGAGTTCAAAATTTAAATTTTGATTCTCAATTTATTTAAAGATTATAGCGATAAAAAAAAAATCACAAAGGAATATGATTAATAAAAAGGTCAATTTGAGATTTTGTCATTTTTTTATTTTTTTCATGTGATTTTTTTTAGTGAATCTTAATTTTCTCCTTTTTATTCAAGATTTTAAATTGTCATTAGGGACACATTTGGTTTTAGTCAAGATAAAATTCAAAATTTGGAATTCTTATTCTCGTTTTAGCTTAAAGATATTAGAATGAAGAATGAGAGAATCACAAAAAATAAAAACGCTAATTTGAATTTTATTATTGAACTTTTCATATGTAATTTGTAATTATTTTTAAAGACTGTTTGATTCAAAAGAGAAGAGTGAACAAAATTTGTATTTCTCATTCTATTTGGTTAAGAGGGAAGGAGAAAAAAAGTTAATTAAAAAAAAGAAAAATAACTATTTTCTTATTTTGTTCATAAAAAGAGACAATAAATCTTAAAAACTAATTTATCACTATTAGAGTGCACGATTAATAGTAAAAGAAAACAAAATGAAAGCCTGTTTAATAACAGTTTTCCCAATCAAATACAAAGGAAGCTTAACTTGGTGAACGACGTTTGAAATTTTGATCTAATGACAAGACAATAAGTGAGCCCACTATAGATTCATAAGACTATAGTTGTCTCATTATTGTTCACTAGACTTGCTCCCCGTATAATAATAAGGACAATGAAAAACTCTCCACTTCATGAAAAGTGAGTTTTCAATGATTGATTAAGGCACTTTTAGTGATAGGGGAAATAGTATCAATAAAAGTGTGAATCGTAATGTTCGTTATTGTGTGAAGATCCTAGTTTTTAGTACAATTAATATATTATACAAAAAATTATGGTTATAGGTAAATTCATAAATTATATTCGGTCAACTTTCTATTATAGGTTCATTCTCTCTCTTTTCTCGTTTCCTCTTTTATTCTTTCCTCAATGAGCTCTTTTCCTGCATTGTCTGAGCTATAATTTTGGCTATCCATAAATTAACATGTTCTTGTAGTATGCAATTAGTTCACTTTCATGGTTTATCCTCTTTTCTTCCATTTGCCCTTGAGTTTCATATTTTATTAATCGTTTCTGGTTATACCAACTAGCTACTACATCATGTATATAATGAGAGAACTACATTCATAATCAACCAGTTGAAAATTTGATCCAAGTAGTAATGGGTAGCCTATTGCTTGAGCAACTTAAAAAGCAGACAACAAGTTTTTTACAAGAAAAGTACAAATCTGCTAGGATGACATTTACTGATGTTACTGAAGCTGAATTGTAAGTGCTATTGTGTGTATGTGTGTAAACATAAGGCTTTGGTTAAGAAACTAAAGGATGGATATTAGTAATTAATGCATGATTTATTAATTTGTGATAATGTATATGTTGTACTCACCAAAATTTCTGATAAATAAATGTAACTCTTATTAGGCTGGCTGAGGAAGCAACAAATAAGGATGATTGCAGCCCAGATGCCAAAACTATGACTAAAATTGCTGAGGCATCATTTGACATAGATGAATATTGGAGGATTGTTGATGTTCTTCATAAAAGGTTTGCTTGTTCATTGACACCCTTTGGCCTAATTTTCTAAGCTGACATTATTATATATTTCAATTTTATAAATGTGTCAATAATCCTCTAGAGTTTATATCCTCTTGTCATTTATTATATATATCATCGAAGTGTAGGTTATACAACGTGGATTCGGAGCAATGGAGGCAATCTTACAAAGCACTCGTTCTTCTGGAATTCTTGTTGACCCATGGTCCTCAAGATTTTGCTCAAGAGTTTCACTGTGATGCAGAAATTATTGAAGAACTTGGAAGTTTTACCCATATTGATGAAAAAGGGTAAACTTCGAATCTGAATCCATTGATTTGTGGTAAACCAACCACACGAAATGGTATCACAATTTGTTTGTTTTTATTTGTTTATTTTACAATTCAGGTTAAAACTTGAGACATGCGGAAAATTCAGCGTAGGGTGGAAATTGAAAGACAAGAGTTACAAAAGTGTCGAAGTATTGATGAGTTCTAATGTTAATATTCCTAAATATTGATTTGAATATATTCATATTTTAAAATAAATCTAACCATATGAGTTCTTATGTTTCTGTCCACCTTGCCATGAAATCAAAACTGAAAACACGTGACCCAATTGGTTTTTACCTAAGAAAAACTAATACAATAACAAACATGTTGGTGCACTTCTCTAATTATAATTAAAAAAATTATTCGATAATAAGTTTAATAAATAATTTATGCATGTTAGTTTACTGATGCAAAACTCAAATTCTGATCAGAAAATAATACTGATAGCAGATTTGATCATGCAATCATACATTATTTTATAAAGTGATGATTTTGTTTCCAACAATAGATGAATAAAGCTAATTATTTCAGGTTCAACTGGGGGTCCAGAATGCAAAAACTATCAGACAAAATAGTGAATCTTTTACAGGATGGAGAAAGTCTGAGAGAAGCACGTTTGAAGGCTCTTAAAATAACAAATGAAATACAAGGGTTTGGAAGTTCAGTGAATTCTCCATCATCATCACCATGCTCTTTGACTTCTGAGCAAGCATCACCAGGGTCTTCATCATTTTATTCAGTTTCTACCGCAAGTACCCCTGCATGGACATTTGATTCCAATGAGAAACAACATCATTCACCCTCCATAGGAAATGTAAAGAGTGTGCCCAAAAACCATCTCTGGAAATGTCCCTCAGCTGAAGAGAAAAATATTTTGATTGATTCTGGTGATGAGGATGAAGACATGGAAAAACCAAAAGGGTTTGTAAGTGAAATGTGCTCAAAGATTGTTGGTGGAAGTCCCACTAAAGGACAAAATAATCGTGAAAAGATTCAGTTTAGATGCCTCTCTGATGTTGGGACCACCGTCACCCAAAAGAAATTTGATCGCCAATTTTCACTTTGGTTCTAAAGGGAGATCATGTCTACAAATTTTCATATTATTTTCTATTTTCTTTTCTAAATATGATATTACCTTCTGTCTTTTACATAATAAATAATTTGGAGCATTTTTTTTCCTTAATTATAAAAAATATAGACTCACGTGCCGATTTCCTTTTATATTTTAAGATTATTAATGAGACATACATTTATTTTTAATGTATTATTTGGGCTATTAAAAATATAAGTCACACTTACTAATTAAAACAATATTTCTTGAATTATGAGTAAATTTATTAAATATAATCATCCTGAATTAGATATTTATTTGTTATAGATTATAATAAAAAAGTGTTCTGTATAAAAAAAATGTTAGGAATATATTATAAAAAAATACTAATTATAATTTAGATAATATGACTAATTTAAACTCGTAAAATATAATTTTGTTGATAAAATATTATTTTAACACAATCATAATCTATCTTTAAAGTAATGAATTATTTTCTTAGAGCATCTATAATGGGAGTTGCTTATTAAATAGGTCTCGTTATATCACATTACTTGTAAGTAATTCATACTATATTTTTACAATTTTTGCTTGAATGAGAGTTGCTTATAAGCACCTCCACTTTTTGACAACTCATACTTCATTTTTTGATAATTTTTTTTAAAAATTAATTATTATGGATAATATATAAATATAATAAAAAATTTAAAAGAATCACATAATTATTATAATATCTTAAGAAATATTAAATATTAAAAACAAAAAAAATTACATAATAAAAAGAAATGTTATAACAGCTAGTTTGCAACAGCTAGTTTTGGGAGAAAATAAGATGCAATAATATCTATTCTCCTAATTTATACATGTTCTTACCTGAGATCGGTCGAGAGGGATGATCTACTGGGCAAGAGTGGTGAGCCTTCTTTGTTGGGTACGTCAGCTGCTCCGAGATGGGAGTGCAAAAGAGACTTCGATGCTAAAGTTAGTCATTGATAGGGTAAATGTCTCGTATATATAGTGCACGTACCTTGATGTGAATTAGGACTTTCCTCTTAGGCGAGGTTATGGTTGATCTAGGCCTGAAGTTGGTTGCGGCCCATTTAGACGATGGGCCTTTGCTTTGGCCGACATCTTGTAGCCTTTGTCCGATGTCGTGTGGTGCTTAGTGCCGAGCTTGAGCTTGATGCTCGGCGCGAATAGTACAATACCCAATAAAATTACAGGCTAATTCGTGATCTTTGAGTTGTTTCTTAGTCATCGCAGATATGTCCTTCATGAGAATGTCATACATCATACTAAAGTTAGTCGCCTCCTTCGCTTCAGCCAATTTTTTTACAATAACACTTCTTTCTAACATTACTTTTGTCATATTATCCAACTCCTTTTTATTGGAAGATGTTTCATCAGCCTTTGCTTTACTATTTCTTTTTGCGGTCTTCTGGCCTATTGGACGAGACATTAGTGTTGTTGGGTCATATTCTTCACAATCATTGACTGCATCATCTGTGTTATAAGATGTTGAGTAATGTTCAGATTTAGAGATCTTTGATCTTTTAGAAGAGCTAGCTCTCCATTGATTCAGATTTCCATTTTGGCTCGTCTCTTAACAATAGTCATGCATGCTCAAAATTGAATTTATCACTCACATCTTGCGAGTAAATCTTATATGCATTTGCCATGATGTGTTTCTCTGAGTTACCACTTTTTCTTTGATCACGAGCTTGTTTGTAATATTTGACAAATAATTGAACTATTTTTTGATCCGAAACCATTGACTTTTTAACTGACTTGGTTTCCTTTTCGAAAATTGATTGTGATTGTTGTTGTAATTCTCTTTGATTCTTATCTAGAAACTATTTTCAATTTGATCAACTCCCACAATTGGATCTTTCGGAATGTTGAGCCATGATTGAATAAGGAGATTTTCCTCTTCCACTAAGAAACTAACACGTGATTTTTTTTGAGTAGATAATTCTAATTCTTCTCCTTGCTGCCCTCCTACATCATATGTGTGATCTAGCCCAACTTGAGACTCAGATATTAAACCAATTAGTAATTATGTTTCCCAATCTAATGGCTCCACAACTCTTTCAAAAAACATTGAAGGCCTATAAAACATATTGGGATTGGTTGGTGGTGGTGAATACATAAAAAAATGGGAATTCAGAGAATTATCATTGGTAGAGTGTGGTGGTTGTGGTAGGTATATAAAAAAAATGAGAATTTTGGAAATTTTCACCGAAAAAGAATGGAGGTGATGCTTGTTTTTGTAAATAATTAAAATAACTTTGAAAATTATATTGATTGGGATCCATGTACAATTTTTACCTTAAACACAAAGAAAAATATAGATAAAAAACAATCAATGAGTATTGTAAATAATAGATGAATAGTACAAAATTTATAGGCCAAATTATTTATAACATTAGCCAATGGTCTTTCCTCAAGGGTCCATCCCAGCCTCATTTCAAAATTAAATCCAACAAATGGAATTGAAAGGCATAATTTAGCCTTTCTCAAGATAAAACTATATTCAACAAGATTTTATACAATACTAGAAATGATGAAGATTTTGAGATTTATAAAAAGTTGTAAAGTGTGTTTGGTTTTCAGTTTGGAAGAGGCAAAAGTACGTTCATTTGGAAGCTTTCTCTTACATACTTCTCCGTTTAATTATCTAATAATAATAAGTACTACCAATAAAATAAACACACAAATTAATATGTTTTGTGACCAAGTCACATCACAAAATTAATATTCATATTTGTTAAGTATATATTTAACTTGTTTGTTAGATTTTAATTAAATAATATATTATTTAATATTTTCATAATAAATATAAAATTACATTCCTCTCACTCACACTCCGAGTGGCATAAGCTGTGTCTCCCCAACGATGAGAAGTGCATGGTGATCTACAAGATGTCGTTGCACGACGTCTGGAAAACCTTGGAGGCTTGCAATGCCCTCAGGCTCCTGATCTGCGAGCGCCACGTCTCCATGCACAACGCCTTCAGAGAAGAGCTAGCTGAGGGTTTTATTAAAGGGGAAGTAGAGGGAGCAGAACATGAGATTCTTGTAGGATGCAAACAAAAAATTATAAATAAAGATACATCAACTTCCATTGGCTACAAAGCTAGATGCTGTCCAACTTTAAATTCGTGAATTAACTAATGGCGCAAAATAGTCTGCGTTGATATGATGTTTAGGTCATTGTATATATTTTTATATCTTAACCTAACATTTTAATTCATTTACAGAAGAGGTTAAAATTTGGTCCAATGTCCGAGTCATGTGGTCACTAATGTCAATGAACAAATCTAAGATAATTTTCTGTGGAAGTCTCCATTTATATGTAACTTGAAGTGCCTTAATTTCTTATTGTTTTTTTAACAATGGCCGGTCGAACTGGGATTTCACACTGATGTTGTTATTATTTTTAGATTTGGCATTTAATTAATTTTCTAATCAGTTTTGGCGTGGATAAGGAATATATCTGTTTCTGTATATGTTTCTTAGAAACTTGGTCATATTGGTAAAAAAAATAATAAATAAAAAATCTTGGTCGTATCAAATCAAATAAATTAGTATTCAGAGTTTTTTTTTTTTTTTTGGGAATCAAGTTTGAGTGGATTATTTTAGAACATAATTGTTTTTCAATCTCTTGAAAGAAATTTAAAAATATTTCTTTATAATATGCTAAATTTTTTTTACACCTATAATAATATGTTATTTAAAACACGGACATAAGCACACCTAAGTACTTTAATTTTGTAATATGTCAACACTTTTGTCATATTAGTGTTCTCCATTATCAACACTAATATCTTTTAATAATGACATATTATTTATTTATTTAATTAAATAAAAATAAAATAAAATAATTTAAAAAATATGATTAATTGTGGGTGTAAAATACTAATAATGTATGGATAATTAACTTTATAAGATCTCACAAGCATGCTTAAGTTTTTTTAACTTTATAAGATCTCACAAGCATGCTTAAGTTTTTGCACAAGTTTTGTTTTGTTTGAAATTATTATTTTACTGCAATATACAATATAATGCGTTGTCAATTATTTCCGTTTCAAGCATAGTAGATGCAAGCTGTATATCAAAATATTATATTAATAATGTTCAGCAAGTTTCATACAAAAACCAATAATCTTCACGTATAAGAAAAAAGGTAGCAGAATATCTCTTTAGAAACATCGTGTGGGAAGCAACTCACTAGGGAAAAACATACAATTTTATATGAAAAGATAAATGTGTTGTATGTTCTTCATCAATCATCAATATATTCCTCTTCATTTTCAATGATTGAGAGGGTTGGTGGTCATCATGATCCGTTTCTTCGACATAGCTAAAGAATATAAATGCTTATAAATAAAAATAAAAAGTCTTCAGAATATAATTAACTCATTGACAACCCGTGGGGTATTTTGGATTTTCAATTGCCTTCAAAATATGTTCATTTTTCCTTCCTTTTCCTTTTGTAATGTCCTCAACCAATGATATATACTCTAATTCCATTTGTTTAAAGCTTTTGATTGATTATTGGATCTAACCAATAATTAAAAGAGTACTATCATTAATATAATGGTGCACTACTTTTTATTCCTATTTCTATGATGAATTATTCGATAAAAATATAATTAATGTAAAAAATCGAGAAGACATATTTTTAATAATATTATGGCATTAATGATTTAATTCGTTAAATAATTAACGAGTGCATCATTATCAGCAATTTCTCGCGGATTTAAACTTCAAAGCATTGCTAAATCCCTTAAAATTTGTGGGTAATTTTTCAATATCAAAGAATTGATTTGGTGATTATTAAAAAGTAAAAAATTTACATCAAAATAAAAATAATTTTACATAATCATCTAATCACGCAATATTTATATATCTAATTTATGAAATTTTATGATAATTATTTTTAAAATTGTAAATAATATATGAGTACTAAACCTATTATTAAATGATAGAGTAGATTAACCAAACAGGTCCATTAGGGAAAAAAAATCAAGAGAGTGCAGATCAAATCTTTACTGAAAAAGATAGCCAACCAGAACTTCCTCCAAGGAATCTTTTTTCTATTTCCCTAATTACACACTAACAAGTCAAAATGGAAAGCGATTTTAAGTGAAAGTGATTAATCTTTAATAATGAAGTTACGGTTGAAACTGGTTGCCAACTTGGCAGTCACCAAACAGGGTAGAGTGGATAATTAAAAAAGGAAGGGGTATTACCGTAATTTTGCGACACCTCTTAGATTGTTACAAATAGTGCTGTGTCTGTCTGATGCTGTCACTGTCACACTTCGGCGCCTCCAATAGTTTCTGTCAAATTCAATGAATTTCCCATTATACCCTCAACGGTTTCTCTTATTTCCACCCTGTTAGAAAAAATCGATGAAATTGGTCACCCTGGTGGGGGTTGGAATTGGTATCCAAAGAGGACGATGAACAACAAATAACAATCTTTGGATGCTTTCTCTCCGTCATACTCTCTTACCTTTTCTATTTTAAGTCTTTCAGCTAAAGGTTCTTTTTTTAATATACAAAAGTTTGTCTTTTTTTCACTGAACTCGTTTTGGGTCTTTGATTTTTTGACACCCTTTGTGATTTCCAATCTGATCTTTTGTGAGAAGTGAGAACCCAGTTGCTAGATTATTAGTCTCGGCTTCTCTGGTTGCTATTTTTGACAAAACAATGAACATTTCAAGGAGGTTGGATTCTGCTGTGTTTCAGCTCACCCCCACTAGAACAAGGTAATAGATAGTAACTCTTTTGTCTTTAATTAATCTATGTGGAAGGTTACTGAAAACATTTGCATGTTTGATTCTTCGTCATGCTACTTGTTCTTCGTTGAATCAGGTTTGACTTGGTTATAACTTTGAATGGGAAGAAGGAGAAGATTGCCTCAGGCTTGCTTAACCCATTTCTTGCTCACTTGAAGGCTGCTCAGGATCAGATGGCCAAGGGTGGTTATTCTATTGTTCTTGAGCCTGACGGTAACACTGATACCTCATGGTTTACCAAGGGAACTGTTGAAAGGTTTGACTTTTATTTTGGGGGTTTATTTTTGGGTTCAAACTAGGTTGGAATTGGATTGATTTAAATATGCTTCTTAGAGATTATCATTGGTATTATTGCATTGTATCCAGTGGGTCTTTAGTGCCATTTTGAAAGTCCCTCTTCTAGTTGCTGTGATCTCAAGACCAGAATTTCTGTTATAACTCTTCTGTTTTACTCTTTCCAAAGTAAATGAAAATGAAACCATGCTTTGAAATTGAACATAAATATTACGACTTGTTACTGTAAGGTTAGAGACTTAAAGCTAGCCTGCTGACTAATTTTCTCTGCTTCTATAGGTTTGTTCGTTTCGTGAGCACTCCTGAGATATTGGAACGTGTGTATACTATAGAATCTGAAATCTTGCAGATTGAAGAGGCCATTGCAATTCAAGGAAATAGTTCTTTAGGGATTAGCGCTGTATGTAAATATCTAGCACTACTTTGATTCATCCCAGCACTTAAAAAACTGTTTCAATAGTTGAGTTTTTCTGCAGGTGGAAGAAAATCAAGTAAAACATGTTGAATGCACTGAAGGTGTCTCTGAAAGATCAAGTACGACTATTGCAAGTTGTCATTGTGTACATCTAACTTGTCTTGAACAAAATATAGGTGTATTTAAATCCCTGCTAAGTTTTATAATTGTTTACAACTAACCAAATTTACTACTTTCCACAGGCAGGAAGACTCAGCAGGATACTAATGAGGAGAGAGCAATTGTACTTTACAAGGTTAGTAGGTATTCAATAATGAATAACCTATTCTTCTATTGATCTTATACTTTCTAATCAATATGATTATGTGCCAGCCTGATGCACAGCCACCTCAAGCAAATGGAAACACTGCATCGGAAGGAAACTCGAAGTAAATTCTAAATGTCCTTTTGTTTTCACCCTTTTCTATGACCATCTCTCACAGATTAGGAAATTATATTTTTAACGTAAATTGTTTATGAGTAAATAATGAAATTCATCGACTGTCCATTCTAGACCGTATCTTTGAAGTTATATCATTTAATTTTTTTCCTAGAATATGTGTGTAGTGAATAAAGTAAAGATATTATCAACATGGAAGATGCTGTTGGAGTTACTTAAAAAAAAATCAAATAAAATTCTGTTGAAGTTACTTTTAGTTTGAGAATTCCTGTTAGGAATAAGGCAGAAAAGGAATTTCATGGTGAATCATATATAAGCTTGACCGTAGGTCCATAACTGTATTGTTGATATTTGCCTTTTGAGGATAATTGGTTATCCACCGTATTCAAAGTAGCATGATGGAAAACTATTCATTTTATTTATTTATGATGATTGAACAGGTATACAAATTGAGCTGGTTTTTTTTAATGCATCTACAATAGCTTAAGCTTTGGGACAACTGTTTCTACATTGTTATAAATTTTTAATCAATATTCAGTTGGATTGAGCTGCTTGTTTATAAATATGATAAATAAGTTTATTTATTGAGTTTCTTTGCACTATGTGGAACAGATTGTTAACTCATTCACTTCTAATGTTGTGTCAGAGTTCATCTTCTGAAAGTCTTAGAGACACGTAAGTCAGCACTGCAGAAAGAGCAAGGCATGGCATTTGCTCGTGCTGTTGCTGCTGGTTTTGACATTGACAATATACCAGCTTTGATGTCATTTGGTGAATGCTTCGGGGCTTCTCGCATGATGTAAGAAAACTTTTTTTTTTCAGAGCATTATAACCTTAGATATTCTTGGGTGAGGTGTTGGGTTCTTCACCCATTGACTTGTAACATACTTATGAGTTATGACCTGGAAATCTTGCTGATGTATTTTTTGTTGCTTGTCAGGGATGCATGCACAAAATTCAGGGATCTTTGGAGAAGAAAACATGAAACTGGACAGTGGCTTGAAATTGAAGCTGCTGAAACTATATCCAATCGCTCAGACTTCTCTGCCTTCAATGCCTCTGGCATTATACTTCCCAATATGGTCTCTTCATCCCATACTGAACTGGACTCTGAGAGCAATGGGAAAACAAGTTCAGGTACCTGACATGTCGAGTATACTATGAACTTGAGCATGATATCTGACTTGTAACTCTCTTTTTTTGTGATAAAGATTTGATTCCTCTACTAAGATTTTTAAATGTTGATCCACAGTCCATCTCTGGCTTTTTTCTTAATTAGAAATATGTCTTGAGATTCTTGTTTGCACTTTTCCAGATGTGCCTCCAATGGACCGCCAACCATCTGTAGGCAACCAAGATAATATTCAAGGTCAATTTCCACACCATATGTTCCCTCCTTGGCCTGTTCATTCTCCCCCAGGTACTGTACCTGTCTTTCAGCCATATCCAGTGCAAGGAATACCCTACTATCAAGCATATCCTGGAAATGGTCCATTTATGCAGCCAAATTATTCTCCTATGGAGGACCCCAGGCTAATTGCGGGTCAAAATAACGGGCGCAGAAGGCATTCCATGGATAGTAGACACAGCAATACTGAATCTGGAGAGGAAGTGGATATGGAGAGGGAAGGTTCACAGACTGGAGATCGACGGAAGAAGGATAGGCGATCAGGTAGACAGAAATCTGGCATGGTGGTCATTCGGAACATCAATTACATAACAAAGCCTGAAAATTCTTCTGGAAGTGGATCATACTCAGACTCTGCCTCTGAAACTGATGAAGATAATCAGGAATCTGTGAAGTCCTCAAAGAGAAGGGAAAACAGAAAAGAATCTTCGAAGAAATTGGAATCATCTGACAGGGAAGAAACAGAGAATGGGAAGGATGCAGATGGAGGCCACTGGCAAGCATTCCAAAATTGTTTACTGAGAGATGTTGATGAAGATAGACACACCACTGACCAAGATCAATTTGATCTGGAAAAGATGAATGACGTGAGAAGAAAACAACACGTTGCAGTCAATGATCCTTTAGTTTTTGATGAGCGGGGAATGCATGAAGTTCAAGGAAGTTCTGCTATAGATATGCATAGCATTAGCAAAGGATTGACTCACATGCCTAAGACATCCAATGATGATTTATTGTTATCTGCAAGGGCAGGACAGTCTGGTAATGGTGGGTCTGCTGATGATGTACAATCTTTAGAAGTAAATGGAAAAAGGAGTGTTTATAGGAGGGCTTCCCATGATGATTTCATCATTCCCAAGCAAGAAAGTCAATTTGGCAATGCTTACCCTTCTGCAAATATAGAAAATACCCTAGGTTATTCAAACCAAAAGCTAGAAAGGAAGTTATTTCATGATATGAATGATGATTCCTACATATTGGAGCATAGATCAATCGAAGTCAATGATGCAGGAAATGTTGAGAGAAATGCTATTGACATGGACTCTGAGTTCCCAATGGGGCAGCATAAGGAAGAAAAGTCTTCGGATGAGATAAACCGTATCAGTTATGAGCCAGATGAATTAAGCATGTTGCCTGAAAGAGGAGCTGAAAGGGGATCAATGAGCTACGACCCTGCTTTAGACTATGAAATGCAGGCCCAGGCTGGTGGTACTTTACAAAATAAGAACAAAGAGGTAGTGATGGAAGCCAAACCAGGATCTAAGAAGTTGGATAAGGAGCCAAAATCAAAACTTACCCTAAATAATTCTGATAAAAGAAAGACAGGCGGGCCAATAAGGAGAGGGAGGAGTTCTAAACTTAATCCATTGGATGAAGCAAGGGCACGTGCTGAGAGCTTAAGGAACTACAAAGCTGATCTCCAAAAATTGAAGAAAGAGAAGGTACTCACTTCTGTTTCAAAGCTTCCAGCCTTCCTTCCCACTTTCATGTTACTATTTCATACAGTTAGCTTATAATGGATGTGAAACATTTAATCAATATCAGTGGCCTTATATACAGACCTTTACATAGTTTTTAGTGCATTTTCATTTAGATTAATTGGAAAATTATATCTTTAGGGTCATTCATCTGAGGGACATATCTAGTGAGATCGTAAGAAGTGAGAAGAGTAAATCTTTGTTATACATGGATGGTTAAGATTGTTTTAATTAGTTTTACTCTTAAGCATCGATTTCAAACTTATGATTGAGATTTGCTCCTCATGCTCTCATCTCTCACCTTATATGCTTCCCATTCATCAGTTATTCAACGTTGTTTATTTCCTTCTGTTTATAATAACTAGGAACAGGAAGAGATAAAACGCCTAGAAGCCTTAAAGATGGAGAGGCAAAAGAGGATTGCTGCCAAGAGTGGCACAATCACTGCACAGTCGCCATCACAGCTGACCAAGAAACAATTTCCATCAAAACTTTCACCAAGCTCTCATAAAGGATCAAAATTTAGTGATTCAGAGCCAGGACATTCCTCACCCCTTCAAAGAGTCCCTGTCAGAACTGCATCTGTTGGATCTAATGATTCTTTGAAAGCCTCAAAAACCAGCAGATTGATTTCGAGAAGCCAGTTGGATAATAAAAAATTGAGCCAATCAGTGTCTTCTTTGCCTGAATCTAAGCTAGAGAAGGATGATAGTACAACTGATACTAAAGCATCAATGGCTAGGATTAGAAGATTATCAGAACCTAAAATGAGTACCATTCATCAGACTTCCTCAGTTAAACCACATGGCACTGGAACAATATCAAAGACTAAAGCTGCTGATGGACCTGAGAGCAAAAAGATATCTGCTATTGTGAGTCATGATAAAAGCAAGATAGCAGCCCTTCCAGAACTGAAAATCAAAACTTCCAAAGCAAGTGACATTCCTCAGAACAAAACATCAGTCAAAGAGAAGGCACATAAGTTGAATGATAGCAAGTCTTCTATGAATTCAGAAAGTACAATGCCGAAGAAAAATGAAATTGGTACTTCATCCAATGATGATGGAGATGACAATCCTGTAGTTGAGAAGACTGTTGTGATGCATGAGTGTGAGAAACCTTATGCCCCTCCCGTTCATCATTCTGAAGAAAACTTAGGGGTACCAAAGAAACAATATGATAATGAAGTAACAGAAAAAACAGAGATAGCAACCTCCAATTATGTTGTTATCCGTGCTCCTGTTTCACCATTAAGCATGGATATAGGAGATAAAGAAACCTCTGAGAGCCAATCACACCTGCAACCCATATCTACTGAGGTATGTATTCTTAGCTTTGATGATAGTTTAACTGCATTGTTAGTTCATACTTTCTGATGTGCGTAAAAAACTTCTACATGAACATGATAATGAGTACGAAAGGTTGTTTCCACTGATTCAACCCATAGGTCACAGATCAGAATTCTTACTTTTGAACCATGATTCATCATCTGGTCCTGCAATATACCTTCTAGTGTTTGAAACTTTTTGTTTTTCCACGCATTCTAATTTATACAACTAACATTGTAAGATATTATATCCGGAAGATAAGTCTGTACTGTTATTTTAAACCTTTAATTGTGTGGGCAAGAAATTGTAATTTGATTTTAGACATGCTCAAATTTTGTTCAAATTCTCCATCAGCTAACTTATAATACCATCCAAAATCAGGTCAAAATGGATAATACAGAGAAAGAACCTTCAAAATCATCCAGTCTTTCTATTGCTGGGGAAACATATCATGCCCCATATGCTCGAGTTTCTTCTATGGAAGATCCTAGTACAAGAAATAGTGAGTATGGTAAAGCAACCCCCACAAGTTTAGAGGCTGCAGCAATTGGTATGGAGACTGTTAAAGCACATGTGTATAACATTGGGAACTCAACACTTGAGAAGATTCCTGAAGCAAACGAGAAGCCTCAGGTAAAGGAATCATCATCCAAAGGGTTTAGACGACTGCTAAAGTTTGGGAAAAAGAGTCATAGCTCAGCTGCTGAACGCAACACAGAATCAGATAATGCCAGCGTTGAAGGTTCTGAAGTGGATGAGATTGGAACTAGCGGTTCCTCAAACGAAGGTAATTTTCTCATCATTGGCATCAGCATAATAAATTAGTATTCAGATATTACTGCTTCCCTGGAACACTTTCCCTGGCAAGTGTATTTTACTATACTACATCATAACCTGTGCTTTTAGAACTGATGGATCTTATTGGATTTTTCATACACTTGTTTGTTCATTTTTATAATTGCCTTTATGGTTGATGATTACTAGTGTCTGAAGAAGTTCACTAAATTCAATTTTATTTATGACATATATGTACTTAAACTGACCACCATATTTCCATGTCATCCTTCAGTTCACACTCTAAAGAACTTGATCTCTCAAGATGAAACTCCAACTGCCAGCACATCTCAACAAAAGTGTAAGCACTCGTTGTATCCTAAATTTTCTTAAGTGGACTTGAATCAACTCTTAATTTATCCGTACCCTATTTGCTACATAATCATCTAGATTCCTTTTCTGAATATGGATTTGGCAAACATATTGTTGTGCAGCTTCTCGTTCTTTCTCCTTGTTATCTCCTTTTCGAAGCAAGAACAGTGAAAAGAAGATAATGATGGCTTGATAGAGTGGACGTTGTTATTGACTTGTTGGTAAGATGGATGCAGTGACAAGCTTAGACCCTTTACTTGATTCGTTTCATGTATTTATTTTCAATTGTCACTAGTTTTGTCTAGCTAGAATAGAAGACAGGGTAATGTGTTGCTATGAAATTTGTTTTTGTATGTGTTTCGTTGTGCATATGCCCAAGTAATTTGTATATTTTACGAGGGACAAATATTATACCCGACAAGAAGATTTGAGCAATTTGTTTTGATCCTACATTTTTTTTTTGTTTACATGATCCGATATTGGTTTTTTTTTTCTTAATTACCAAATTTTCTATCCGGTTGGAATTCACATTTGTATGCTTCATGTTTCTTGTCTTAGATTGGACAGACAATCCGAGGAAATTATAGTGTGTTTGGATGGAGAATTTAAATGGAATAATTCATTTATTTGAAGAATTTCAAATTCTTTGAGGTGAAATACCTTGTTTGGATGAAGAATTTATAAGGAATTTGAAATTCAAGCATTTGTGAAATTCCTTGAAATAGTAGAATTTCAAATTCTCCCAAAAGAGTAAGAATTTGAAATTTCTTATATTTTTTTTCTTCTTATTTCACTTATATATTTTATCTTATCTCTTATCTCTTCATGTTTTTAATTATTGAATATTCAAAAATATTTTTAAAATTATTAAATATTATCTAATATTAATTTTTAAAATTATTAAATATTTAAAAATTAGCAAATATTTGTTTTTATAAAATTTAATTTAAAAATCTCAACATATAAATATATTTTTAAAATCAATTTTATCATGATAGAATCAAATTATCATATCCAACCTAACAATTTAAAATTTGAGAAATTTGAATTGATTTATCCAAATAAAATATTTTAAGAATGATAGAAATTGAAATCAAAGTAATTCAAATATCAAGAATTTAAAATTTCTTAAATTTGTAAAATTCTTCATCCAAACACACCATTAAGGTTATAAAATTTCCTGAAACTTCTTATGAATAAGTAATTTTCATAGACTGGTCGAACATGAGGTTGAACTTCTCCATGAAGAGATGACAACATTGCAATAGTGACCATTGAGGATGAACTTGATACCGCTGTTTAGACTGTGGATTGTATGTGAGTTATTTTTCGATTCGGAGTTTGGATTGAGAGGTAGAGTATATAGTATCAAATTTGGATTGGAAGGGTGTATTTTCAAATTGTCTAAGAAAAATTAAGATCAATTTATTTATGTGATAATGGTGTAGTAGAATATATCAAAATAACAAAAAAAAATTTTACAAGGATCAAAAGTAAAATAACGGTAAATTATAACGATAAAAATTATATTTAAATCATTAACTAATTACTTTCAAAATGTCGCTGGAATTTTAATTATTAGTCGTGTATCCGAATTGAGTAGTGCAAATACAATAATCTACATCTGTATAAATATCAAAAGAATCTACGAAGAATACAGTTGAAGGACGTGATGACGTGTGGATTATTGATAGGTTAGCCTTTTTTGGGTTAATACTATACCGCTTGTTTGATAGGAAAAAGAAATGGCGTTGGGATGGACCATATTAATTATGGGCTAGCCCAGCCTAATTGGTGGAGCCTACAGACAACATTTACTCAGAAGTTGACTACATGTCATCTTTCTAGTTTCTAGAGGACAAACTCGATTCCATTGTACTAACACTATACGGCTAATAAGACTTTTTTTTGTGCTATAACCTTAATTTTTGTGCATTTGGGGTTCAAACTAGAAATACGGAGGGCTAATAGCCACCAAACCAATTTTGATAACACTTCCAGGGGTCAGCCTTACTTTGACATTATAACCAAGATGAGTTAAAATGTAAAATTTTCAATGTTGCAGGCAAAATAGTCTTTTCAAAAACGGATATCACACGAGTCATGTCAGCATTGTGAAGAGGATTTTTATTATTTTTTTATTTTTATCTATTATGGTTACCATTGTTATCATTGGTGCAATTCTAGTTTTAGGCATTAAAAACAGCATGATATATAATATATAAAAGCAACACTATATTTATATTATTTTCCAAAAAAGGGAATTATTTTTATTTGTTAATCATAATTTAAAACCAGTTCAACACGTCTTAGCATTGGGGTGGGGGAGGAAACGTTATGTCCTTGTATTGTATCCATTTGAAAATATCCCAGCAGAACTATTTTCTGTTCTAAGATTGAAGTCAAATGAAAAGATGGGTAATGATGAAGGGGGACCATTAAATCTCTGATGACTATGACCTATAGTGGTTTAGACAAGGTCAACGGTGCATGAAGCTTTGGTATACAAAATTTCAAGGCATTGTATAAGCAAAGGAAACATATTTATCTGCCACTGCCACTAAGGATTGCATATGGTAAGGTGTCAGTCAAAGCGAATGATTAAGCATGAGATGTTGCTTTTGCTCATCCTAACCAAAGCTTCCTTTGCCAGGCATTCAGCTGCTTCTTGTGGATCCTCTATATGGCTGATCAGATTCACAGCCTCTTGTTGTTTCATCACCTACACACACATATACAGGAACATTCAGTTCCCATTACTTTTCTCTTTTTTATTCCCAAGAAATTACTTGTGAAAATCTCACATTCAATTTAACTGAAGGAATATACATATATTGCAGCTTACCTCCCATATGCCATTGCTTGCTAATATCAAAAATTCAGTATCAGAATCGATCCATTCACTTCTAACCACAACTTCAGAGCCTCTAGAAGGCTTTGCACCTGCTTCACTTCCTGATAGACATGCTAGCATGTGTCCTTTGTGAACGAACACATGTATTGTATACATTATGAGATGTATGAATCAAAAAGATGTGTGTGCCCATTTACTAATAAACAAAACAAACTGTGCTAACATACATTCACGTTGATTTTCCTCATCATTTAATGTCACTCTGACATAACATTGTTTCAAAAGGAATTGTTTTGGGTTCTCAGTAGGATTTGTAAACATGCATGGTTAAGCATTTGTGTGACAGAAGATAAATTAAATTTTAAAGACACTGGAACTGAATTGACACTGAGAATGAGTATGCATTTGCCTTAATTTTGGTTTCACTGTTCCCAAAGTGAACAAGAATTCTCATGACAAATAGATTTTTAGCATTATATATACCTGCAAAGAGTCTGCGAGACCAATGTAGTTTACGTGGTTGTTGGTATGTGCCAGTTGCCTGATGAGCTATGCCATCTTTGCACACAACAGTTCTATAATCTCCCATGTTGGCTACTACAAGTTTTTCTCCATTGATCACCATAACACAAGCTGAACCCATTCTGCATGTTTCCTCTAATCCGTGTTCCTCTCTGATCTTTGCTCTTACACTCAGGTAAGCTCTCTTTAGAGCCTCTTTGCTTTTTCTCGTTATATGAGGCTAACATACAAATATAAAAAAACATTAGAAGCACAGAAAATAGCAGAAATATGGGAAAACGAGGGAATTTATGAATAAAGCATCTCAACCTTGATCGCTATTTTACAATAAGGTTATGTAAGGGAGTAAGAGGAGAAAAATTCATATGCCATCATTGAACATAATCATATTGCTATATATTACATGTTTTTCTTCCTTCTCATTTTACTTTTCCTTCTTCAATATTTAACAATATTTCATGACAAAATAACCAATATTTAGATGCAAACTTTGTATAGGAGAAATGAACTGATAGATAACCTCTTGAAGCTTCTTGTCAAAGAAATGAGACTGCATGAAGTTGGTAACCCTGTCTCCAATTAGTGCATCAAAGATTCCAAAATAATACAATTCTGTATTATCTATTTCCTCTCTCTGTGCCACCACTGAATCAAAGTCTGAGTCATCAGAAAAACCATCACTGATCATATTATGCTCCACCACATGATAACCATATCTCATGGGCACCATCCATGAAGGCTTTGCCAACTTCTTGTGCTTTCTTTTTCTGCCTCCATGTCCTAGCAGAAACTGTTTCAGCCTGAAAGCCTGCTCAACTCAATATATAGATTAGCTCTTGCTGTGAATAACCAATTCTCGATATGATTCATCATTTAACAACATGAAGGGAAAACAAAATACACAAAAGGGTCAAGACCCTTTTTGTGTTTTTCATTAATACATGCTTCTAAAGGAATCAAGAGAAGGTTAATGTAAAGGAACTGGGAAAAGAACAGTGGCTAACCTTGAGTTTGAGATTAAGATAGAATCCCATGTTTTGCCCTACTGTTTCATCAGGGAAAATTTGAGCACTTGCAACTGAGGACTACAAAAAGTTAGCAAATCAAGTTTTCCAAATAGAAAATAAAATGAGCCTTAATTCTTTTTTGAATTTCATAAAATTTTAGTAATATATATTTAATTTAATTGAGTAACAAATGGGATTGACATTTTCTTCCCTCCCTGGCACTGACAACAAAGTGCTTCTAATGAGTTGATGATTCGTACACAACAGTTAAAGTCCACTCACATGGAACTTGGCAATGACATGAACCTGGCCTAGAAAATTAAAATTAAAATTTAAAAGGAGGTGTGTTTATTTTTCTCCTTTGACTACTTACTTGGTTCAAAGCTTGAGCCAGAATCTAGAAGAAGATTGTGCAAAAAATAAAACTTAGACCCAAAGATAGCCCTACCGAATAGTGAAACACAAGGTCTTGATTTATTAAATGAGAAAATTAATTAGCTTTAATTGTAAGTTTGGAGGAAAGTTTGAAAAATAAGTAAACTCAGAAAAAAAATGAAATTTAAATCTAGTATTTAATTGGGTGGACGTGCCAAATGTTCCGTCAGTGATCAATACGAAATTTCTGTTTTTTCCCCGATTTGTAAGTGGGTAACCGTAGGTAGCATTAACTATCAAGAGATGACTCCGTTGACTTTTCAAGATTTCATGTGCACACGTTTCTATACAATAAATATTTAATTTTTACATGATTAATGTTCCTAATAAATAAATATATTTATTATATAGATTATATAGTTTTCCTCTGAATTTATATATAAGCAAAAAAATGTTTGAAATTTTTGGACTGAAATATAAACAAATTTTAATCAAGTCAATTTTATTTAGGAGGTGTATTGGATTAGGATTTTAAATGACTTTTTTAGTTAAAAAAAATCCTGCGGATTTTGAAAGATTTTGTAGGATTTTTATGACTTTTAAGATTTTGCAGGATTCTACAAAACTTAAAATCATGATTTTAATGGATTTTGCAAGACTTTTAAATCAGGATTTTAATGGATTCTGTGAGATTTTGTAAAATTTTCGTGGATTTTTTACATTTGATAAGATTTCAAAAAAAAATTTCATACATTCAAATTTAAAAAGAGTCAAAGACAAAAATAATGAAAAATAATAATGTCTAGATAAATAATAATAATAATAATTCTCCATAATATCTTATCCTCTTAAATAGCATTCACCCACATATTCATAGTTATACTAGTCCTCCAAGCATTAGCGTCTTTTCGCTCTTGCTCTTGGATTTGAATAATAGGTTCAAAAGTATGATCTTCATTAACTGGTAACGTTGAAGATGAAGGTTCATCCACCGCTTCAATTGGAAATTCATCAGAACGACATTCTTTACGTAGAAAGTAGAGAATTATGTAGTGTTGCACATACTAACACAAGTTCTGCTTGTGTTTTAAATAAAAATGGAGGTGTTGACTTGAAAATTGTGAACCTTGATTTAAAAATACCAAATATTTTCTCGATCACATTCCTTAAAGACGCATGATGAAGATTGAACAATTCTTTCTTATTTTTAGGGTCATTACCCTGACCTGCAAAATCTTGTAG